ACATGCTCAAGGCAGGGGACGATGAAGATACTGTTGCAGACATGCTCAAGGCAGGGGACGTTGAAGATACTGTTGCAGACATGCTCAAGGCAGCGGACGATGAAGATACTGTTGCAGACATACTTAAGGCAGCGGACGATGAAGATACTGTTGCAGACATGCTCAAGGCAGCGGACGATGAAGATACTGTTGCAGACATGCTCAAGACAGCGGACGATGAAGATACTGTACTGTTGCAGACATGCTCAAGGCAGCGGACGATGAAGATACTGTTGCAGACATGCTCAAGGCAGCGGACGATGAAGATACTGTTGCAGACATGCTCAAGACAGCGGACGATGAAGATACTGTACTGTTGCAGACATGCTCAAGGCAGCGGACGATGAAGATACTGTTGCAGACATGCTCAAGCCAGCGGACGATGAAGATACTGTACTGTTGCAGACATGCTCAAGGCAGCGGACGATGAAGATACTGTTGCAGACATGCTCAAGGCAGCGGACGATGAAGATACTGTTGCAGACATGCTCAAGGCAGCGGACGATGAAGATACTGTTGCAGACATGCTCAAGTCAGCGGACGATGAAGATACTGTACTGTTGCAGACATGCTCAAGACAGCGGACGATGAAGATACTGTACTGTTGCAGACATGCTCAAGACAGCGGACGATGAAGATACTGTACTGTTGCAGACATGCTCAAGGCAGCGGACGATGAAGATACTGTACTGTTGCAGACATGCTCAAGGCAGCGGACGATGAAGATACTGTTGCAGACATGCTCAAGACAGCGGACGATGAAGATACTGTACTGTTGCAGACATGCTCAAGGCAGCGGACGATGAAGATACTGTTGCAGACATGCTCAAGACAGCGGACGATGAAGATACTGTACTGTTGCAGACATGCTCAAGGCAGCGGACGATGAAGATACTGTTGCAGACATGCTCAAGGCAGCGGACGATGAAGATACTGTTGCAGACATGCTCAAGGCAGCGGACGATGAAGATACTGTTGCAGACATGCTCAAGGCAGCGGACGATGAAGATACTGTTGCAGACATGCTCAAGGCAGCGGACGATGAAGATACTGTACTGTTGCAGACATGCTCAAGGCAGCGGACGATGAAGATACTGTTGCAGACATGCTCAAGACAGCGGACGATGAAGATACTGTACTGTTGCAGACATGCTCAAGGCAGCGGACGATGAAGATACTGTTGCAGACATGCTCAAGGCAGCGGACGATGAAGATACTGTTGCAGACATGCTCAAGGCAGCGGACGATGAAGATACTGTACTGTTGCAGACATGCTCAAGGCAGCGGACGATGAAGATACTGTTGCAGACATGCTCAAGACAGCGGACGATGAAGATACTGTACTGTTGCAGACATGCTCAAGGCAGCGGACGATGAAGATACTGTTGCAGACATGCTCAAGACAGCGGACGATGAAGATACTGTACTGTTGCAGACATGCTCAAGGCAGCGGACGATGAAGATACTGTTGCAGACATGCTCAAGGCAGCGGACGATGAAGATACTGTTGCAGACATGCTCAAGGCAGCGGACGATGAAGATACTGTTGCAGACATGCTCAAGGCAGCGGACGATGAAGATACTGTTGCAGACATGCTCAAGACAGCGGACGATGAAGATACTGTACTGTTGCAGACATGCTCAAGGCAGCGGACGATGAAGATACTGTTGCAGACATGCGCAAGGCAGCGGACGATGACGATACTGTTGCAGACATGCGCAAGGCAGCGGACGATGAAGATACTGTTGCAGACATGCTCAAGGCAGCGGACGATGAAGATACTGTTGCAGACATGCTCAAGGCAGCGGACGATGAAGATACTGTTGCAGACATGCTCAAGGCAGCGGACGATGAAGGTACTGTTGCAGACATGCTCAAGGCAGCGGACGATGAAGATACTGTTGCAGACATGCTCAAGACAGCGGACGATGAAGATACTGTACTGTTGCAGACATGCTCAAGGCAGCGGACGATGAAGATACTGTTGCAGACATGCTCAAGACAGCGGACGATGAAGATACTGTACTGTTGCAGACATGCTCAAGGCAGCGGACGATGAAGATACTGTTGCAGACATGCTCAAGGCAGCGGACGATGAAGATACTGTTGCAGACATGCTCAAGGCAGCGGACGATGAAGATACTGTTGCAGACATGCTCAAGACAGCGGACGATGAAGATACTGTACTGTTGCAGACATGCTCAAGGCAGCGGACGATGAAGATACTGTTGCAGACATGCTCAAGACAGCGGACGATGAAGATACTGTACTGTTGCAGACATGCTCAAGACAGCGGACGATGAAGATACTGTTGCAGACATGCTCAAGACAGCGGACGATGAAGATACTGTACTGTTGCAGACATGCTCAAGGCAGCGGACGATGAAGATACTGTTGCAGACATGCTCAAGGCAGCGGACGATGAAGATACTGTACTGTTGCAGACATGCTTAAGACAGCGGACGATGAAGATACTGTATTGTTGCAGACATGCTCAAGGCAGGGGACGATGAAGATACTGTTGCAGACATGCTCAAGGCAGGGGACGTTGAAGATACTGTTGCAGACATGCTCAAGGCAGCGGACGATGAAGATACTGTTGCAGACATACTTAAGGCAGCGGACGATGAAGATACTGTTGCAGACATGCTCAAGGCAGCGGACGATGAAGATACTGTTGCAGACATGCTCAAGACAGCGGACGATGAAGATACTGTACTGTTGCAGACATGCTCAAGGCAGCGGACGATGAAGATACTGTTGCAGACATGCTCAAGGCAGCGGACGATGAAGATACTGTTGCAGACATGCTCAAGACAGCGGACGATGAAGATACTGTACTGTTGCAGACATGCTCAAGGCAGCGGACGATGAAGATACTGTTGCAGACATGCTCAAGCCAGCGGACGATGAAGATACTGTACTGTTGCAGACATGCTCAAGGCAGCGGACGATGAAGATACTGTTGCAGACATGCTCAAGGCAGCGGACGATGAAGATACTGTTGCAGACATGCTTAAGGCAGCGGACGATGAAGATACTGTTGCAGACATGCTCAAGTCAGCGGACGATGAAGATACTGTACTGTTGCAGACATGCTCAAGACAGCGGACGATGAAGATACTGTACTGTTGCAGACATGCTCAAGGCAGCGGACGATGAAGATACTGTTGCAGACATGCTCAAGGCAGCGGACGATGAAGATACTGTTGCAGACATACTCAAGGCAGCGGACGATGAAGATACTGTACTGTTGCAGACATGCTCAAGACAGCGGACGATGAAGATACTGTACTGTTGCAGACATGCTCAAGGCAGCGGACGATGAAGATACTGTTGCAGACATGCTCAAGACAGCGGACGATGAAGATACTGTTGCAGACATGCTCAAGGCAGCGGACGATGAAGATACTGTTGCAGACATGCTCAAGGCAGCGGACGATGAAGATAATGTTGCAGACATGCTCAAGGCAGCGGACGATGAAGATACTACTGCAGACATGCGCAAGGCAGTGGACGATGAAGATACTGTTGCAGACATGCGCAAGACATCGGACGATGAAGATACTGTTGCAGACATGCTCAAGGCAGCGGACGATAAAGATACTGTTGCAGACATGCTCAAGGCAGTGGACGATGAAGATACTGTTGAAGACATGCTCAAGACATCGGACGATGAAGATACTGTTGCAGACATGCTCAAGGCAGCGGACGATGAAGATACTGTTGCAGACATGCGCAAGGCAGCGGACGATGAAGATACTGTTGCATACATGCTCAAGGCAGTGGACGATGAAGATACTGTTGCAGACATGCTCAAGGCAGTGGACGATGAAGATACTGTTGCAGACATGCTCAAGGCAGTGGACGATAAAGATACTGTTGCAGATATGCTCAAGACATCGGACGATGAAGATACTGTTGCAGACATGCGCAAGGCAGCGGACGTTGAAGATACTGTTGCAGACATGCGCAAGGCAGCGGACGATGAAGATACTGTTGCAGACATGCGCAAGGCAGCGGACGATGAAGATACTGTTGCAGACATGCGCAAGGCAGCGGACGATGAAGATACTGTTGCAGACATGCGCAAGGCAGCGGACGATGAAGATACTGTTGCAGACATGCGCAAGGCAGGGGACGATGAAGATACTGTTGCAGACATGCGCAAGGCAGCGGACGATGAAGATACTGTTGCAGACATGCTCAAGGCAGCAACTGGGTTCAGGCAAAAATCCCAGATCTGTGGAAGAAAGCAAATAACATTCCAAAGCAATATCATCTGTTTGTAAAATAATTATCAGCTTTACATAGCTCATGGCCTCATTAAGTCTAAATCCAGCCCTGCTTGCAGCTTAAAACAGATCTCTGTAAATAACTGCTCATTTTCCCCTTGAATTAAAAGCTTTAAACACATCTATGTAAATAACTGCTCATTCTTCCCTTGAATTTAAAGCTTCAAATACATCTCTGTAAAAAAAAAAACTGCTCATTGTTTCCTTGAATTAAAAGCTTCAAACACATTTCTGTAAATAACTGCTCATTGTTCCCTTAAATTTAAAGCTTCTTCACACACTCTATGTAAATAACCGCTTTATTTTTCCCTTGAATTTAAAGCTTCAAACACATTTCTGTAAAAAACTGCTCATTGTTCCCTTGAATTAAAAGCTTCAAACACATCTATGTAAATAACTGCTCATTCTTCCCTTGAATTTAAAGCTTCAAACACATCTCTGTAAAAAACTGCTCATTGTTCCCTTGAATTAAAAGCTGAAAACCGTTCTTAGTGGCCACGTTGAGTAGGGCGGGGCTTATTCCATAACGGATGTGAACGGACTATCTGATTGGCAGTAGATAACAAGGTCCTCTAGGCTTGAAGTTGAAATGTTTGTTTCACTTAGAAGCCAGGTAGACTACGTCTGAACTTGGAATATTTCAGCCGCGCCTTGTTACAGTCAAC